TTTTTTTTTTTTTTTTTTTTTTTTTTTTTTTTTTTTTTTGGCAATTGGCACTTGTTGTTTTTTTTATTTTAAATAAAAAATATTTTTAGAATTTTTAAATTTTTTTATGAGCTTTTAATAAGATTTTGGGTTATGTGTTTGGTTATGAGTTTTAAGTTTTTGAATTAAATATCATATATCACATTATTCGTTTCAAACTCAATTCAAAACTCTTTTCAAAACTCATAACCAAATAAATTTTTCACACTCAAATTATAATTCCAAAACTCACAAACTCAAAATACAACTCTATTCTCAAATCATATTTAGAAAATTTTACCAAACGCTACCATGATTTTTTTCCTTTTTTTTTGACAAAATAAATTATTTTATTTAGAAAAAGCACAAAATCAAGAGAGTAATTCCCCTTAAAACTCCATCTCCACCATAGTTCTTACAAAATTGACTGTTGTGCCTCCTTACAACAGTGACTATAGGGGTGTAAAAATGGTCTGCGGCCTATTGGCGGCCCGAAGCCCACCCACGGCCCGAGATGGGCCTGACCCGTTTAGGCCCTCTTGGGCCTAGGCCTGAGCCCAGCTCGAGCCCCTAGGCTAGGGCCTAGGCCATCATTTTGAAGCCCGGCCCAGTCCGTGGCCCAGCCCATCGACCCGCTTAAGGCCTGGCCCGAAGCCCGGGCCGCCTAAGGTCCAGTGTATTTTTTAGTGGAAAATAATAAGCGTTTGGTAAAAAAAATTTAAAAATTTTAAAAAAAAAGACCAGGCCTGCCCAACCTCCTTTTCGGGCCACCTAACATTGCTCGAGGCTCGGCCCATTAGCCCGTCCAAGGCCCAAATACCCCTGGGCCTGGGCTTATTTTTTGGCTCATGGCCCGGCCTGGCCCAACCCGAATTTTGGCTGCAGCCCTCGAGGCTCAACATGGGCCGAGCGGGGCCAGATTTACATCCCTAAGTGACTATCGTGTTTTGTGACTATTATGCGGCTATAAGAACTTATTTTGTGACTCGTTTCAATAATTTGAATCATTTTTTTTAAATACAAATAATAGAATATATTTGTAAAAAATTAAGTTAATTGGATATCATTAACTCTTTCATCCACTCACATTTGTATTCAGTTTTATAATTCAAATCACATTTGTCATTTATTGTTTAGATGCAAATGCAATTCGATGAAATAGTTAACGATATCCAATCAATATGATTGTTTGCAAATATGTTCTAGTCAATATATTCTAAAAAATGAACGGTTTGAATTATCAAAACAGGTCCTGAAATGGGTCCATATATCTCCACAACAATTATTGTTGTGCCTCCCGCATAGCAGTCACCTCTTCTCCTAATTTTCAAGACTATATTTTGTAAGTCTTGTGGGACCTTATGATGGTGATTTGAATGGTTTATATGGTAGGTTTTGAAGAGAAAAACATATGTGCAAAAAAAATCAATTTGATCGAAGATCAATTGACACACTAATTAATCTTGTTTTGTTTTATAAAATTGATAGTAAATATAATTTTATTTAGGGTGATCTAAATAAATATACATTTTAATTTTTTATGAAAAGATGTGTAGAAAAATAGAGAGGTGATGTAATTCAAATAAGTGCACTTATGTAAATAAGTGCACTTATATTGTAGATGCCAAACAATTCATTTTATAAAATAAAATACAATAAATTAATGGGGCATTTACATGCAAGTTCCATTTTGTAAACTTATAATCCATTAAGTCCTATATAAAATTATTTGCTCCTTCAAGTTCCATTAATTTTTAATAGGCCAATTTACCCTTCCAAGACCTCCTCGCCAACCAGA